GTAGAAACGAACACACAATTGGAACATAGAATCACTGTAGTGGACGCCTGTGAGCAGCAACGCGGCGAGAGGGCGAATTTTCGAGTGAAGCGTGACGGATGATCCGGTTACTATATAAACAACCACGGGACAAAATTGTGCTTAATTATATGCTAACGACCGATCTCGGAAAATCAGGGCGAGAGGGTTTTGACTTTAGACGACCGCTCGCAGCCAGTCAGAGACCCGGCCAAGTTTCCGGCGCGGCACGGAGCAGCGTTACCACGCCAACAGCTTCAATTACCGAGAGTCCTTTTAATTAATTTCTATTATTAGCCGCGTCGACAGCACCAGCAAAAAAGAAGACGATGGTAAACCAACGGGGAGACCCTTCGCGAAAAGGGAACCGAGCCCGGGGCAGTCCGAACTCTGAAAGAAGTTAGGGGCGCGCCGACGTTGGTGCTCCCAGTTCAGCAACATTGCTAGGATTCGAGGGCCGAACGAGGATTTATCATTATGCATTTATGCAGATCGAAATTAATATTCCAGCGATCTATCCTTATCTTGCGTCTCCCTTCGATCATGAACCGTCTATCGAGAGTCGGGAGACTGTACCTTGGTGCTTTCGAGTCTCGAATAAAGCGATACACTCGGCGATGAACTCGTTCTCGATTGAACGCGGTGTGAGTTAACGCTAAATTGTTTTTAGTTTAACAGTAGAACTATCAAACCAGTCAAAATGACTGGTTTCTGATTTTTTTTTTCTTTCACAGTTCTTGATATAAAAATATTTCTAGGAGCAATTTCTACGTGCACTTTTCTTCATTGAGATATATCAGCCGTTTATTTTGAAAGCGGCATAAGTCCATTTAGTTTAAAATGCATATATATATATATATATATATATATATATATATATATATATATCGACATTTTTTAATTTTTTAATCTTCTTAGTACTTTAACCCTTGGACTGCGGCTACGAGTTCATTTTTACCCCGTATATTTCATTTAAATTGTCTACTATTCAGTCAATTTTCAGCAATTGAATTAAATAAAAGGAATACTAATAAGTCTAGATGAAGTGTCTTCAAAAATACAATTAGGTTGGCTGATAGGTTATGAATTGAATTGAATAAAAGGATTTTGCACTAGGAACAACAGAAACACTAATAAGTCTAGATAAACTATCGGCCAGCCCAATATTTGACGAATAAAGCCGAGGACCGTCGTAAACATCGTCAATGCCACAGTTCCGAGAATGCTCCGCCGTCCGAAGGGTTAAATTGCAGCTACTCAATTATTGCCATAAATGCGTAAAATCCGCAGTCCGTTGATCATCATGCTGGACCGGACGGCGGATTGAGCCGTTTATTTTGAAAGTGGCATAAGTCACTTTACCGTGATGAAAAGTGGCGATTTTTTAATGTTTATACGAAATTATTTATACTGAGAAAAATATCAGTATCCTGAGATAACAAATACAAGTAAATCTTCTCGGAAGTTAGCATCCATATTTAAATGTATTATTAAATATAATATAATATATTATTAAATATAATATAATATATTATTAAATATATCGACTTAAAAACAAAGTGACTTACGCCACTTTCAAAATAAACGGCTCAATTATAAAGCGGCTTCTGGAGAATGAAAATTTCGATGGGCCAACATCCGGCTCGTGTTAGCGGAGAAGAGCGGTGGCAAAGTCGAGCGATTACGTCGCCAGCAATCCGTGGGCGTTGTTATCGAGCCGTGTTCCTCGCCACGGCCCTGGTCGGCACGCCGACAACAAAGCGTCTCGCATTTATTAGAGTCAACAATTTCGCCGGCTGCGGAACGGATTAGCGGTACATCCGGTACGAACAAATTACCCTCTCTGTCTTGGACGCGTTCCCTCCGTACACTGTCTTTCCCCATTGATATTTCATCGCGTCCGTTCAAGTAACTCGCGGTTCCGGGTTCGTTCGTCGCGGGTTCGGTCTGCAACCGACGCGACTATCTTATCTCTTATCCCCCTGAAATTCGATTATTAACACGTTGAATGCCACGCCAGTTTTACAGAAATTGTCCGTGGCGCCACGATGAATTTTCTTTAATGCGGTACATATAATGTTGAAATATTATCTGCAATAGATAAGTTACAGTGTATAACCATGTTTGACATGTTAATTGCGACAAGGGTCACTGTTTGAATCGACGATGGTAATAATAGAAAATTTTAGATATAGACATTTCTTTTAAATTATATATATATTTCTATCAATTTGGGCGCGCCGGTCACCGGTGGCCCCCATGGCGTCACCGCCAAGTTAAGTGCCGGTCACCGGTGACCCCAGTGGCATTCAACGTGTTAAGAGGAAAGGGTTCATCGTTCGCGGGATGGATAGAAAGGATGCCGGGAAGAAGCGAGAGAAACAACGAAAGACGGAGAGAATGAGTGAGAGCGATGGGGAGAGGGGGAGAAAGAGGAGTCGGGAAATCGACAAATAAGGTCGATCAATCGCGGGCAAACTGCCGGCGAGTCCCCCGGAGAACAAATTCGCTCCCATCGCTTATCATTTCTTGGCGATTACGCGGCGCCCGGATTAGCCGTGCATTGTTTCGCGAGAGGAAACAAATTAGCCGGTTCACGAGGGCGGAACGCGGCCGTGTTTCGGGCGCGGCGGCTCTCGGTGAGGGGAGTTCTTCTCCTGTCGGGAATACGAGAGAACACCGGAACGCTCCAACGGTCCTGATCGTTCGTCAGGATTACTTTAGCTTCTACCGAGATGCTTCTTGGGTAGCGGTGCCAGTCGCGGCGAAGAGGAAACGCGCCGAGGAGCCTGCAGCCCGGCGCTGGCTACCGCTTTGCTACCCGGCGGAAAGCTCCGCGGAGGAATCATTTAACTGGGGAAAGAGTTAGACGGCGGGGGGAGGAGGGGAGCAAAGGAAGGTCGGGAGAGAACGAGAGGGAAGCTGAAGGGAGCGGGCGAGGAGACGCCTGGTAATTATTTTACCGGCACAGTCGAAGGGACAAGGGAGTTCGCCTCGACCCTCCACCCTCTCCCACCCTCTCCTCCTTTCCCTGGCCCTCGCCGACGTCGTCTCTTCAACCCTCTGCCCGGCAGCGGCTCGATGCTAATTCTTACTAATTGGTTGCATTACTCTCGTTTCATTCACCTGCGCGGTCGCTTCCTTTCCTTCGCAACCTCCTTCCCGATTACTCCCCCTTCGTTCCATCGTCTTCCGCTCGACGAGCTCCCTCGGCTGCGTTGCATAGTCAGCGATTGATTACGGATGAGTCGGCTCGCTGTTTTCTCCGCTGTTCCCCGATAACAGCTATCGGCCGTCTTTCTTTTCGACCCTAATCCCCGTTCCTCGTTCCGCGAACTTAATTCGCTCGGGGGAAATTCAGTTGACACTTCGGATAGGATGAAGCGGAATCGAAGGTAATTGTACCCTCAGCGCTCGAATACATATAGCGGCGCACGGAATCGCAGTCGGAACTGTATCGAATTCGTAATAATCGATGACGGTTGAATGAAGCGGGATTAGATGAATCGAACACGCGATGCGAATAAACTATGACTTACGACGAAATCTGTCCACGGTTTTAGCAACTCGATGGGCATTCGGTTTAATGCTTCCGATAGGATGAAACGGAGTCGGAAACGTTAAGCGGTGTTCGAATTCATCGATGCACAGAATTCGGTCAGAACTGTATCGAATTCTTGACACTGAATCTATCATAGCGATTCAAATGACCAGTTTCGCGTTTTGTATTTATTTTATTTTGTTTATTTATTATTTTATTTTATTTTATTTTATTTTATTTTATTTTATTTTATTTTATCTTATTGTATCTTATGTTATCTTATCTTATTTTATCTTATTGTATCTTATGTTATCTTATCTTATTTTATCTTATTGTATCTTATGTTATCTTATCTTATTTTATCTTATTGTATCTTATGTTATCTTATCTTATTTTATCTTATTGTATCTTATGTTATCTTATCTTATTTTATCTTATTGTATCTTATGTTATCTTATCTTATTTTATCTTATTGTATCTTATGTTATCTTATCTTATTTTATCTTATTGTATCTTATGTTATCTTATCTTATTTTATCTTATTGTATCTTATGTTATCTTATCTTATTTTATCTTATTGTATCTTATGTTATCTTATCTTATTTTATCTTATTGTATCTTATGTTATCTTATCTTATTTTATCTTATTGTATCTTATGTTATCTTATCTTATTTTATCTTATTGTATCTTATGTTATCTTATCTTATTTTATCTTATTGTATCTTATGTTATCTTATCTTATTTTATCTTATTTTATTTTATTTTATTTTATTTTATTCATTTTATTTATTTATCGCGAATTCTTGAATCTATATATATAGAGACGCTTCCGTTGAAAATAATTAAACAAATATCTTAAATCGAGCTTACGTTACAAAGAAAATGGCAAAAAGTTTTGTAGGGATGAAGACGTGTGCGAGTAATAAATAGTGTCCAACTGAAATTCTACTAATGTCTGTCAAATTCTTTATTTGACTTAGTCAGTTCTGTCTCATAAATGCATAAAATCCGCCTAGTCTAGTAATAACCGACGAAGAATTAAATAAAACGCGATTGAACTGTGTTTCGTCGAGATCTGTCCACCGTTTTAACAGTTTGACAGACTTCGGATAGATTCGGATAGAATAAAATGGAGTCGAAGATAATTGTCCACGGTGTCCGAATTCGTCGTTGCACAGAATTAGTTAAAATTCTAGCGAATTCTTAGCAACCGATGAAGCTTAAATAAAACGCGATTAAATTGACCGAACACGACTCGACGGTTTGCGGCGTCCGTTTTTTTTTCGAGAGGAACGACCTGTCGTAATGGCAGGTGAAGTCGCAAGTGTCACTTCTTGCCAGAATCCGTCGCATGTCGCAGGAATCCGCGAGCATTCGCTAAATGCGCCGATTCCGACGAAATAGAATACGCCGGCCGGTCTCGCGATCAGTTAGCGCAGCGATCATGGCGCGAGAGGTTCTTCCGCGTGTGCATATCTACTCCCTGGCTTTGATCGTGTCTGCTTTTCATAGTAAGTTCATTCCTTCGAATTAGATAGGATGGCGGAGCCGATTACTGCGAGTTGACCAATCGACAGGCGCTTTCGATTTGTTTTTGTGCATAATTAACTATGTATATATCCATCGCATAAGACAGATTAAATTTGTTCACTCAAAAATAAATAAAAGAAAAAGGAAACCAACCGAACGCACAATTAACTTAATATTTATCGCATGATATACGTTAAATATTTCAATTCAAATATAAATAAAAGAAGAAAAACGAACCGAAGGCATAATTAACTTTACATTTATCGCGTAAGATACGTTAAATTTTGTAATTCTAACATAGATAAAATGAAAGAAAAGAAAACGAACCGAAAGCATAATTAACTTTATAATCATCGCATAAGACATATTAAATTTATTAATTAACAAGTAAAGGAAAGTAAAGAGAACGATCCAAAGGCATAGTTAACTATTATATTTATCGCGTAAGATATGTTAAATTTTGTAATTCTAACATAAATAAAATGAAAGAAAAGAAAACGAGCCGAAAGCATAATTAATTTTGTAATTGTCGCATAAGACATATTAAATTTATTTGTTAACAAGTAAAGGAAAGTAAAGAAAACGCTCCAAAGGGGTATAATTAACTATTATATTTAACGTATAAGATACGTTAAATTATTTAATTCAAAAATAAACGAAAGAAACAGCAATTGGACATGCCACAGTAACCGGCTCCACTGCCTTATCCGTGAACTGGAAAAGAAAGAAAACGTAGACGTGTCAACGTAAAATTTATCGAAAAGTGTATCGATTGTAGAGATAATAATAATCTTCGTGAACGCGGTACACGATAGCAAACTAGCGTCGATTCGAGACAGATACATACACCGTGGCGGTTAATTAGGAAGAAAGAGAGCGAGAGATACGAACTATTACGGGTTTTCTCGCAGGGGCAAGTTCCTCGACAGCGTCGCCGGTCGATTGCACGAGATTCGATATCGCCGAGCTCGAGGACTATTTGTCAAAAGTCCATCCGGAGGATCCGGCGGCGACCGATACGATGATTGGCAAGTTCACATCCACGGTGACCGAGCTGCCCTTTGGTGCTTTGAAGTCCGACTGGTCGAGACTGTTGCTCCTGCAAAGGGCGCAACCGGAGGGCTCGATTTTAAGAGAGAAACTGGGTCGTCTTTTCAGAATTCTAGCGGCCGCTTACTCTGAAACCGTGGAACCCTCCGATATCACGAAGCCCGTCTTTTCAGCCACCAGCGGGTTCGTATCAACGTCAGAAAATGTGCAAGATGTTCAAGGGTTTACGGTGAAATTACCGAGGAAATTTTCGTTGCAGTTATGCTTTTACGTTCGACGATGTTTGCTCCGCGAAATTCCGGGCCGCTATTAACCCTAGAACGACACTCTTCTATTTTCCTTCTATTATAAGTAACGTTACAGGGTTGCCAGCCAAAATCGAATCTTAATCATTCAAGTATTACGTACGATATTCGAGATATTTAAAAAGATCCAAAAAATCGATACGAAATTTGTAAAAACAATTTTTGTTTGCTCCTTCATAAAGTACGGCATAGGTTGGAAGGGTGCTTTAGAGTATTAATTGACACGTTTGCAGGGAAATAAAAAATGTTGCGAGATCGTTCCAGGGTTAAACAATTTCTTAAATCTAACGTTCGTATCGTTTTCTTTATCGCAACAGTTGGGATGCTTTCACCAATCGGAGCACAGAGACGAGTAGCTCCGCCGAAAGTCTGACTTCTACCATCGCTTTGCCAAACCCCGAAGAATCCAGCCGCACGACTAAAATTGAACTAACTACCCTTGCAACTTCCGATACAACGAAATCGTACATCAGATTCGGTTCCTCTACACTTGCGGGCATCGTTGCGCCCACTCCATTCGATGCGAACACTTTCGCAACGAACGCGAGATCCACGACGCAAACGTCGAGCGATCAGAAATTCAGCATTCATAATTTCGATAATTCCGTCAAGAACGACGACCCAGCTGTCAACGGCGCGGACAAAGGCTCTTGGCAGACAGATCGGCCCGCGACGCAAGAGCGCCAAGAAATAAATGGGACGAAATTATCTCCGATCGCCACGGCTTCAGCCTTTGATGCAAGAACGACGCGACCGTCTGGGGACACCACCGAAACGGAGGGAACCTCTGTAAATTTAAAAGTCGAAGCTTCCGACGAGAAGCGCGCGGACGATCCGACTAACAAGCGTCAAGGGATAAAGATGACAGCGGAGAAAGAGGAAAGCTCCGATCATTTCCGTGGTACCGAGCAGATCGGCGGTTTTGTCGCGGGTAAATCGAGCGTGGCCGGAGCCGTCGACGGGGAAGACGCTCGGCCAATTACATCGCCGGTATCAGAGACCGATACACCGTTTACGCCGGTCGGGGGTGATTTTTCAGCGAGCTGGATCCGAGATCATGGGCCGGGAACTATGAATGTCGGACTGGCAGAAGGGATAAAGGAATTGGATTCCGCCGGAACGGCGAGCACTGAAATTGCGAGAGCCGATCCCGGGCGTACGAGGGGCAGAGGAGATCCTGCCGCAGTTTATGCGCTCATGAATTCCGAAGATCAAGAGAATACTGCCGGCAAGCGGGGGGAAGAGTATCGCGGTTCCGTGAATACAAGTGACCCGGTGATGTTGCACGTAAAAACCACCACGATCGGGCGAAGTCGCGTTCATACTGATAGAATTCGGGAGAACGAGGTCCCCGGCTTGGTCAACGACTTCCACGGCCGGCAGCCGGTTTACCGAAAAGATGGCGGCCACTCGGCTCCAGGGACGAGTCCCCGGAGCATCCAGAACTCTGCCGTCTATCGGGTCGAGATAAGGGAACCTTCGGTTCCGGGGGGGCCGAAGATGGGCAGCGAATTTTCGAGTCGCGCCGCCGTGATCCCACGAGTAGTTACCTCGACTATCGGGTCAGCGGGTGACCGGCCAGATCAGTGGCGAGATAACTGGTCCCGGATAGGTCGCATCGAGTCGAAGAAACCCGGAAGTTCGGATACGGTCGTGGAGGAAACCTTTCGATGGTTTTACAATGCCGGGGCCGCGGAGGATCGCGACAGGTAAAGCCGAATTTTTACAGCTTTTGGATAATTCGTCGGTAGAGCAATCTTCCCGGTGTGTTGACTTCGTTCGAATGTTGCAGCAAACAGCGTGGGATTCGCATCGAGTGCGATGGAAACGGGCATCGAGAATTCACTAGGATAGTGGAGCCGGTTACCGTCGACTAGACAATCGTTGTGTCTTTTATTTATTTGCAATTAAGTTTATCTTGATCGTATATGACGAAGCAAATCTTGCTATTCAAATTAAACCAATTATTTATTCGTTAAAATTAACAACTTTGCAACTCTTCCAAAACAATGTTTACGTTATCGAATTAATTTCTATTTAAAAAAAGAACTGTTGAAATTTATATTAATATTTAACAAAGTGTAATTTCTGTACGATTTACAAGACTCAATTTCGTATTCACAAAACGCGCTATAAGATACATAAAATGAAAAAACTATTAGAGTTAAGTTAGAGTTAAAATAGCTTCGAGTGCAAAGGGTCGTGAGATAGGTCGTGCAATTGACCGATGGAAGTGCGGAATTTCGTTCCACGTTCGGCGTAAGATTGGTAAAACATTTTATAGAAACTAGAGCGGTCGTGCTACGTAAGATTCGATATACAGTGGCACGCGGACGGCCAGAACGGTGTGTTAACGTTCAAATTCCTTTTCCATTGGATTTTCCACGTTCCCCGGATAATCGCCTCGTCTTGCGCACGCTGCGGCGTCCAAGTAAACGCTGGCCGAGTGCCACGAACGCCAAGAGTACAGGTGGTCCGCGAAATCCTTCGAGCTCCGCGAGAGATTTTTATTGTTACGAGGCCTATCGCCGAGGACAAAGGGCGGCCGTCTATTTACAAGAACCCCTTCCTACACGCACGGAAGAGGAAGCACAGCAGGGGTAGCAATAGCGTAGTTGCAGTAGCAGTAGCAGACACGCAATCGTTTTGGTTCGCAGTCGTTCAACGGTCTCTCCACTGTTTCCCGTAACAACCGAGCCTCCGTGCTATCGCTTTAATCGTTTCAACGCTACTCTTCCGTGTCCTCTCGGTCTTTTGTTCGCACGAGGCTCGAATTAATGCAGACTTTCCCGTTCGTCCTAGAGCGAATTAGCCGTTTGCAAAAAACTCGAGGGAAAAAGACGGGGGAAGATACTCGGCCGCGCTCGTTACACCGAAACTAACGAACCACGACGGATTATTTTTGTTCTTCCGGTGATGGACCCCAATCGAATTGTTACCGGCGGGCGGAGGTACCTACATCGAATGACGATCGATGCTAACGCCTGTCAACTAAACAACTTTTGTCAATATTGTCACAATAGGAATGCGTTACAAAGGCCAACCTATTGTTTTCGACGATAGAAAAGAAAATGATTGTTTGGATCCAAGAGAAAAATCAATCTTCTTCGGGAAAAGGTTTTTCCAGATTTTTCTAGGTCGCCGTACTCTATAGGATTAGAATTGTTCCACGAAAGCTTTGTATGCGTGTTGTCTAATCGTTACTGTCGCGAACATATCAAGCAGTCTGATAATAAGTCACTTTCAAACATTCCGTGTTATCGTTATCTTTATTATCATCATGATCATCATTAATATTAATATTAATATTCTTTATCATTATTGTTACCACCAACGTCATCCTCGTCCTCGTCACCATCATCACTCATCGTTCTCATCATCATCATCATCATTATCATCATCATCATCACCACCACCATCATCATCATCATTATCATCATCATCATAATAATAATCATCGTCATCATCATTATCATCGTCGTCATCATCATCATCATCATCATCATCATCATCATCATCATCACCATCATCGTCGGCATAATAATCGTTATTATTATCATTACTATTATAATCTTTTGCTCCACAAATATACTCGCGCGCCTTATCTATTTATATGTGTCTAAATTTGTATCATTTGTTGGTTGTTTGTTTTGTTTGTTTGTCTGAAACCCTGAGACTATGATTCTACCTCGACGGCGAATCGATAAAACGTACACAAAGGAAATGCTCGTCAAAGTCGTGGACAATACAACCTAATGACCTTAGGATCCGTAAAAATATTTCTCTTTCTGGCCCTTTGCTCGCAATGATCGCGCGACACACACGGGAAATACGCATTTCGTTTTCCAGCGTTTCATTCATGGAACATAGGTAACATCGTGCCCGCGACCGTCCGCGTCTCTGCCGATCTGATCCAGTCGTAACAGATCTTGAGATAGATGATCCACGAAAGATCTCGCCGCCTCTTTCGAAGTAACCAGAAACAACGCGATACGTTTCAAGCATCTTTAACCCTTGGATCTTTTTGGACCGCAATTGTTCTCCCTGTTCGCGCGAGTCTTTTTATTGCATCTACTCCTACAACGACAACGAAATCGTTCGTATAGACCAGGAAAAGGTATTTGCTAATAAACGAAGGAGATTGAATGTTCAAGGAGCCGAAGGTACAAAAAACAAAAACGAAGAAGAAACTGAAAAGGACATGGCGACCGATCGATCGACGGAAACAATGCACCCCAGTCGCGTGTCTCCTAATATTATTGCACTCTAAAACATTTTTTGCACGACTGTCCGCAGAAACTGCCGGGCACCGGCCGGCTCGACGGCTCCGTTGGTAGAATTTCAACGTTTAATCACAATAAAAATACCATCTCATCATTTATCCACAACGTTACCATACAACAGCCCTGCCCAACAATCTTCAACTATTTGTCCATGTTCCGTTAGCCAATAGATCACTCTCATAGACCTGGTTGCGCTGAACACGAGTTTGAACACGAGTTTGAACACGAGTCTGAACACTTTTCTCCATCGCCTTCAGTTTCTGAGAACCTAAATTTTGAAAAACAGTCATACTTCCAACTTTCGGTATTTGTTGACTTCAACGAAACGGTCATAGATGCTCTCCGAAATACAACGGTACATTTTTCATAACGTAATAAGACGTTCGAAATCGTTTAAAATCGTCCATGTTCCCGATATGCTTCAAGCTTCATTTAATTGTATTTAAATGTTCGTAATGACCGAAAAAAGAATTATGCCATTATATGTTCGAAGAGCTTATAGTATCGTTTCGCACGAGACACATTTGTTTCAACGATTTCCTTTACTTAAAAAATTGAATTTGTTAGAAACAGAAATTTCTAAAAAAGTGTACACGTTTCACCTGTTGTTTAGCGGAACACGAAACAGGTGTTGGACAACATAAATTCTTCTTTCATACTTCCTTGAACCTTATGCCAAACAACGAAACGGAGGGCCGACGAGTCGGCGCGAGCCGGAAAAAGAAAAACCTCGCTGAACAATTTTGCTTCGAAAAAGCGTGTCTTTCGAAAAACAAATAAACCTTTGCGTGTGAGTAGCAGCTCCGAGACGACGTCGTACCGATTTCTTCGATTTTCAATTTTCGCACGCTTCGAGGAAAGCGATAATATTATGCGCGGGAGCCGCGTGTGCTGCGGTTATCCCGGTAACAGTAGTAACTAGACAATAAAGATCCCTGAATACATATAATATAATAATATATAATAATATATATTCTCCTACGCTCTCTGTGTGGCACGCGCGAATAACATTTCTCATTTTTGTCCGCAATCATTTCAACAATCGATTAAATTTTCATCTTTCTCTCTCCTTCACTCTCACTTCCACTCTCTTTGCCAAGAGAACCTGGCGACCAGGCCAGGGATACGCCTTCAGAAACAATTTTTCTTTCACGCCAACGTCTCACATTTTCCTTCAAGCGTGGAACAAATAAAACAAAGTACCAGCATGGCCCGACATGGAGAACGATCCAGCCATTCTTTCGCTCAGTGTCTTCTTATCTTTTTACATTGTTCACTGGCCAGCCCAGCTCTTGTTTCGCGCTAACTTGGTTCGATTTGTACAACGGCACATGCTAAATTCATTCCTCCCTCTCTCGCTCTCTCTCTCTCACACACACACGCACACACACACACACACACACACACTCTCTCTCTCTCTCTCTCTCTCGCACTGAACTAAAACTATGGATGCTCAATGCAACGGTATTACACGCACATCTGTAGGTTTCGTTTCTTTTTACATTTCGCATCGGTCGACACGGATTCGATGGTATTAAAACGTGCAGTTTTTGTTACTCTACTATACAAAACGACGTACTCTTCTCTCGTCGACGATTTATGAAAAATATAAGAGTCACTGTCTTCTCTTTTTTTCCTCAGTCCCCCCGAAAATTGACAGACCCCCCTCCGCCGGAGAAAAGACGTTGCTAAAACAACTGCAGCCAGCGCGTCGAATCTTTTTGATTGAACTCTGGTAGTCATTTGGTAACACGATGCTAACTATATGTAATGTCAAACACCCACAGTCGATTACGTTCGCTTCTTTCCTCTCCTCTTCTACGATAATTAGCTGGAAGAGAAGATTACCGACCAAATTCGATGACCTAGAAACGTGTGATAGCCAACGTCGATGTTTTGCACTTTTTCAAGCGAAATATTTGAGATGTTCAAACATATTTGTCTGTATATCTCGAAAGCCAAGGCCTCGGGACGTCAACCTCGACGACGCTTACCAAGGTCATCGGAATTGGTAAAACCTCCTATTCCGTATAATTATTCTTCCCTCTCGCTTTGATTTCTACGACAACCGGCGCGTCGGTGTGTCTTCTCGAGCGCAAACGAAAACGTACGTTTCTTTTGTTCCTATACTTTTTTGTTTGCTCTGTTTATTTGGTAGGTTGCTCCGCCCAGATCGGACAGACTTTTTCGTTTATAGAACTATCCTAAAGCGAGAGCCTCAAGGGATAAAGCGTCTCGCGCGTCTTGTACTAGGTACCGTACCCTATCCTGAAATAACATCAAGTTTTAGTTTTCTCCGTACCTGTAAAAGGGGTACTCGAAAAGGAAAGTTTGGTTACTTCGACGAAAGAGCGTGTGCCTGCCTACGTCCCTAAAACACGATTTCTCATTTTGTCTCTCTCTCCCTCCCTCGAGTTTCCAACGATTGCTGGGTAATCACCGGCCGAAAAACCCTGATTCCTGCTCTGTGAAAAATAAAGCCCTTTTTTTATCTATTTTCCTTGTTTCCTGGGAGTCTTCCTTGTGAACGAAAAACAAATAGAACCGCATACACGCACAGTATCCCCTCTGTCTCCTCTCTCCGCCACTCTCTATTTTCCTCTCTCTCTCTCTCTCTCTCTCTCTTTCTCTCTCTCTCTCTCTCTCTCTCTCTCTCTCTCTCTCTCTCTCTCTCTCTCTATCTCACTATCGGCTCACTGACACTCCCAGAGATGCCTAGGAAGCTGCTCTATCATGCTCATTGCCAGAGTGTCGTAAGTGGAACATTGACACCGTTCGCCGTCGAACGGTGTGCAGTTCTGTACAGAGTCCTTCAGGTTTGAATTTGTTGGTTTTGAAAAGCAATTTTCATCGTCAGTTGACGCTTCATCGGTAGTAAGCTGCCTCCAGCATCTCCACGAACAACTTGTTCATCGGTACCTTCCCCGTTCGGTACACGCTCGACCAGAATCTACGAACAATACCGTCCACCTGCCTGAGACTTGGCAACACTAGGAACATGTTTTGGGTGGCTCGCAGTGCCTGTCCAGGTCGCACCGTTGCTACGCAATCCGATAATGAGTTCAGTATTGCATCCCGGAAACGATAGAGTGCCTGCGGCTCGTCGGACCTCGCGTCACTGTTCGCCAGTATCAATGCTTTCAACATGTAATACTCTTCTCTGGTCAGACCCAGCCGCTGAAGCCTCTCCACGATTTGGATGCACTGAGAAAACAGAAAAACAGTTAATATCCTCATAGATTCGGTAGGTTTTGATCAACTGCAGAACATAATCGTCCAACGTGCACGTTGTAGAGATTTTGGGAACATAGGAGTCCCAGGTTGCAGTGAAGTTTGTCCACTTTATTTTCAATCTAACTTCCAATCCCACGGAGGAAACAAAATGAAACTTCGAAAACGGAGTTGAATGCCAATTATGGTTGGGAAACTAGTCTAACAGTGCAACAGTGTAGTTGCCGAGTTAAATGAAGATTTGAAAATGCTACTTACGTGCGTGTAAAGCTCCGTACAGTGACATTCACGCGCCAATCGCTCGTCAAGGGTGAAATCCTGGGCGAACCTTAATCTACCGTTATTCGGCATACTCCTCCATGCAAGACTAAACGTCAAGATCTCGGCCCACGTGCTTTGCAACAGTCGCATCTGATCGTTCAGAGCCAACGTACTGAATCCTGGGATCTGCTTCGCCCAACCTTGCAATCATCAGTACCGTGTAAATCATTCAAGAATTATTTGAGTCCCAATTGTAACATAGACGTCACTTTAGAAAAAAAATGCTTGTTTACCGATTATCCCAACTAATTCCCGATCGTACAGGTCCGACAGTTGTCCTAGGATCCTCTGATCCGTATCGAGAGTATGGGAGAGATTAGAGACTTGCAGCATGTCGGGTTCGCAAGCAGCCAGAGCTTCCAGCATTTTATTATCTAGCAATAGATAAAACCGTTTATCGTTTCGGTCTCGCCACGTTTTGCATGGAAATACGAGACGCGCGTTTAAACCGAGAAATTTTTGTGCCGCGACTAACAAGAACCGCGTTCATCGACCATCCATTAACGCAAATTGAGAGGAGCCGATAGCTTACTTATTATTTCGTTAGAAGCTCCTGTCCCTACGTTTGCTAGAAACAATAAAATATCCAGATTTAATCAGTCTTATTGTGGCTCATCGTGCATTCTACATGGATCTACCGATATTAACCCTCGCCATACAATGCTGGGTCTAGTTCGACCCTGACGCTATCGACGTTCATTGTTTACTTATGTTAGGTAAGCATATAAATTAAATGTGTGATTAGCAATGCAGAAATTAATGATATCCATCCTTGAGACTCGTTTCAAAACGGTCGCAGAAGCAAAGGATCATCGGCACACTCTTCTTCAGCACTGTCAGTATTGCGAGGGTTAAAAGCAATGCGTTTCACGAAATAGGATTCAAAGAGAATCACCTTCCAATGGAGCCGTCTTCACCGGCGTGTAGGGATCGGTAGATCTTCTGTACTTTTGCCTGCCTCCTCGGACTCGATCAAGCCGGACACCTTCCTTCAGCATGCCCTGTCGAAGGCACTTCTGAAACCTGCACGCCTGACACGCTTTCCTCCGGCGCTTGTTTATTTCACACTCGCCATTCGCCGGACACGTATACTCGATATTACCTGTGAAATTACTCGCTATTTTATCGTAATATACATGGTCCTTGCCCAGGTAGCACCAGTGCATCATTTACAAACGGCTAGAAGCTCCAAATCATCTTGCTGCCTGTTTATTAGTTTCTTTTTATTCTACAGCTCCTAACTTAGACTAAACGAATTTTGTCTAAGCCTGTAGCAATTTGTTCGATAGCCCGAGACAGAAACACGTTGCATAGAACGCAGCAGTGTTAAGGGCAACTCATGGTGCCGAGCAATTATTATCAATCGAGTGGTGCTACCTGGAAAACGGTTCAAAAGAGAATATTTATAAGTACGAAGAAACTCTCCTTACCTTGTATAGTTCTTTTAAAAAAGGCTTTGCACGCTTCACAGGAAGCGACCCCGTAATGGAACCCGCTAGCCACGTCCCCGCACACCAAGCAAAGCCTTCTGGGTATCATGCCCTCCTCTTTGACGCCTTCCTAAAACCAGAAAAATGTTCTTTCTCAAACTGACGAACGACCGAACAATTTCAACCGTTTGAATCCCAGTATCGTACCTCAGGTGTCCCCAGGGGCTGCGTCGTCGAGGAACAATGATGCATCTCTGGACTTTCAGGACTGCCCCCGCCACCCCCGTAATCCGTCGACACCTCGATCTTGCTACAGATCACCTGAAATCACGGAGACGGTGTTAGTAGTTGTTTCTTCAGCAAGGAAAAGTTTCATCGATCCTGCTATTGGACACCGTCGATTAGACGACGCCAAGTGAAAGCAATCGACCTTTCGTTCGGCGTTACCGATACACCACGTGTACCAGCGGACTATAACGGGCTAGCATTATCGATCCTCGAGTTTCGTGGACAGTGCAACCATTGCAGAAATACCTCTTGATGTTGAAGAGTGGTGGTCGGCGAGCAGACCTGGTAGTTTTGAGTCGGCGTCGTGGGATTCTCGATTTCTTGCTTGATGTTCGCCATGGTCCGGCTGTTGCCGACCATATTCTCGGTACCCGCGCCAGACATCATACAGACCTGAACGAAGGAAACTTTGTTAGAAATCTCTCCGCTCCTTCGACGGTGGTATGCGTGCCTCTCAGACAGGAAACGCTAGTCTAGCCGGATTCGCGAGCTTCCAAAAACCGAGGACACGCGGTCCGCCTTGCAGTCGGCTGCAGTTTTTTATCCCTCGTCGCTATTTTTAAGCGCGACCAACGCAGCAAGCATTTTTAGAATTGACTTCAGAAAACACTCGTCTCGCCCGGTATGCTATCGATGTTCTGGGAACATGGGGCCGCGGCCGAACAATTGCGAAAGCACACCTTTTACTTTCTACGACCAGTCATTTTTTTCTCTCCTCGTCCGCGAAATCGACCGACAGCTACTCGACAAACGCTGCTATAACAGCGGTAAAAGTGAAACCGTCCGAGACGGGCCGGCATTCATCAAACGATCGAGCCGGTGTTTGCTATTAATTGGTAGGAAGAACCGATGATTCATCTCCCCGAACTACGTATGTATTTCGCCGAGATCCTCCGCAAGCTTTTTGGGAAAGTATCGATTTCTCTGAATCGTTTCTCTGAACCGTGATGCGACATCAACTGAAACTCGCGATGAACATTTTAAACAGTATCTGCTAAGTATTATTCATTTATTTCGAATCGCCGGAAATGTTGTTCTTCCGTTATCAATATTTAACCCTTATACTGCCGTCCTTGGTTAAAATGTCATATCTACTAATTCGCCACTTCTAAGGACATTTGAAAATATTTGAAATATCACGTACCTTTAAAATATTTAAAATATATGATATTTTTAAAAATATCACGTACCTTTTACCTTTTAAGCAAAGCTAGAATAATATTCGATAATATATATTTCATAGTGTTTCACGTGTAATTTCATTTATTTGTTTTCACTTATTTAACATAAGAGCCCTAAACGCGACTAGTGTATATCGTTTTATATCAATGCCAAGACAGGATTTATAACATATACTTCAATAGAGAAGTGTACGTAAAAATTTCTCCTGGAAATAATTTTATATCAGGAACCATAAAAGAAAAAATCAAAAACCAGTCATTTATAGTTATAGTTTTAGAAACGATTTTATTAATTTGACTTCGTTTTTTGGATGTTCAAATATGCTGGTTAGAACAATTTAACTATGGAAGTATAGTGACCAACACGCCAACTCAGCAATCTAATAAAATTAAAGCATTTTATTTAACCAAATTAAAATTGAAAAGTTAAGTCGTTCGACAGCATCATTTACGTTTTCAATATCCTTACTTTTTGCGGATCCAAACAAAATTTGGAGGGTATAATAGATTCGCGTAACAATTAATTTTTAAATCTCGGCAAATTATTCCGCCACCCAGATACGAGTGGCGCGGCAATCAAATCGTTGATAAGTAAAAGTATTATTTCTTAATTTATGTTTATTTTTCCATTTTTAAATTACCATATTCTACAAAATTTTAATCATTTCTTTCTGAAACTTTACCGAACGACGTCGACTAAATTTGGTATTTGTCGTTCCGATACATAAAAATCTTTTAATAAGCACTCAAAGAGACAAGCACCGATTTTTATAGATACTAGAAAAGCTCAGAAAGCGATCCTTGCAATTGCCTTATGATTATTTCGAAAACTATCAGAGCCATAATGGCAGCCGATAGCCACAAATACTTTTGCTTTATATTTCATCTAGTCATTTTCATAACTACGGATCTTTCTGCAAGATAAAAGTGATCTTCATCGGTTGCAACAACACGAGTCAAATAGAAATTTATTTCTTTTTTTATAATAACCGCATCGCATGATAACTGCAAAATAATACACAAATGCTCTTAAATTCTTCTGAAATTTCCATTATTTGAAACTTCGCTCATAACGAACACATAAATTCTGCAATCTGTCTATGAATTTCCTACAGTGAGATCGATTTTTGAACCTGAAAACGAAACTATTCCTACCTACTATTCCTACCCTAAATATTCCTCCTCTTTCCAATATCCTGGCAGATTTTCGTACCGAACGCGTACGATCGACTTGTCCGGCTATTATTTTCGCGAAGATAATTCGCCCAAAATCGCATCGATTCGGCGGCTGAGATCGAGGGATTCCTGGAACGAACGGTAGGTAGGGCGAACAAAGTAACGGTGAAAGGATTGCGTAAGCATGCCTCCCCCTGCCTCCCGGCCACGGTGTCGTATATTAAATGTACGGCGAGAAGGAGGACGAAGTGGAGGATGAGGAGGAGAACGAACACAGAGGGAGATGTTGAAGAACGAAGGAGGAGGCGAGGAGGACCAGGAGGAAAGAGGAAGAAGAACGCGCGAAGAGTACATATCTGGTTAGCCTTGAACCTGACTTTTCTGCGGGATGCAGTTGCGATCGTTTACGAGTAATACGAAAGGGAGACCGACGGGAGAGATTTATGCGGCGCGGAGCTGCGAGGGATTGAGAGTAACCGAGAGGAGCTGCGAGAGGAGAGATCTCGCGGCTCGCAGCCGGCGTCTGACTGTTATCGCGGCCCGGTACCGACCGTTTGCGAAACGATATCTCGGCCGCGAGCGCCCGTGCGCGCGCGCGCGCGCCTGTAATTTTAATTCCCGGTGAATCGCGGCGCGACCACTCACCGAGGGGAATAACGGCGAAAGCCTCCTCGAGCGAGGAGGCGAACCACGCGTTATCGATTTTATTAGACTTCGCGTTTCGTCTCGTCTCGTCTCGTCTCGTCTCGCCACCTCTCGGCCCCTCCTCTCCTCCCGACTGGCCTCGTCACGTTAAACGCGCCTCCTCGTTACGTTATAGCGCGCTGAAAAAAAAATGTCTGAGCTTTTTTGCAAAATTTCACATGGACGTGGCTGCGAGCCTTCGCACAGTAGCACGCTACGAAAGGGAAACGAACGAACGTGTCGAAAAGAGCACTGTTTCTCGGTTTCTCGAGGAGAGTCGAGTCGGTAGGTTGGGTTTAATGGAACCTCGTGGCGGCCAATGTTGAAACAGCTGGATCGTTTTAACCCAGAATTTCGGAAAGTTCGTACCTTCTTGGATTTCGAACCTCGGACATGGGTTCACGTTTGCTTGCCTTTGATATATAATTATGTAAGGCGATCGATACGTCGCCGAAACGTGCAAATTAACAATTTGATGGGTTTGAATAGTCCTAGGTGTGATACGTGGATCTGATTAGCGGACTGCGGATTTCATGCATTTATGATAAAAATGTATAAATTATGAAGACACAAGTCTTATCAAAATCGTTTCGAGAAACAATTTATTTTTATCTAATTTCCGTTTCTTGCGATACTCTTGGAATATGCTTATCTTGCATAAAAACCCACGGTCTACCGATTAGTTATACTCAATATTATATATTAACTAATCATCAATCAATATTATATATTAGTTATACTCAATATTATATATTATATATAAACTTTCCAGGAGACTCGGCAGGAGGCTAAGGTATTTAAGGACACCTGTTAATACAGCTAAAAACCACTGCTCCTATTCGGGCTCGGTATACACAGGGTGTCTCAAGACAGAGAGCGCGGTCATCGGATGATTCTACATGCAAAAATGAGATGAAAGAGAGAAATAACAGTTTGCCAGTTGACGCTTCCTTTTCGAGGAAATCGAGTCTACAAATTCGTCAGATTATAGTTATTAGTCGTTTACTCGTCTTCACGCTCTATGAAAATAGGCAAGTTTATTAAAAAGATACGTATATTACCAAAGACAAAGTAGTCCGTTTGTCTACTGTAACGTGTTTCTTTTGACCCACTAGTTGAACGAAGCATACCTATGCCAGGCGACGAAGAGAACGGATTAAAAATCTAGTATTCCATCGAATGCTATGTCAAGAGCGACCGAAGGCCGCAAGGCGGCAAGGAGGAAGAACGCTGCAGCCAGGAAACGAGAGAAAACTAAATAAGGCAATGATATCGAGAAGCATGTCTGGTCGACCTCGAACTTGACTAGTCGCGCTCGCAGCTCCCACGTCCGGTCTAATGAAATTAAAAACTGACTGGAGCGCACACCAGCGTTAATATGGAGATACCAACGGTCTTCGAGCATGACCGAGACGATAGCGTAAGAATACGAGAATGCCCTTGGTTCTCGAATGGCGAGACCATTTTGACCCAGCCCTTCGGGAAATCTCTATCGGGCCCTCCAGTTTCTGACTGTTAAACGAAAGCGTATGCATTAGGGTGTCCCATAAGTTCTTTCCGCGCCGCGCTATTAATGAATCTAATTGGCTGTGTTTATATAAACACGTAGGCTTATCTCTTGGCTGTTTAGGGGATCGGTTTCAGTCGTCCTAGAGCTCTTTTAGAGCATGTTTCATTGGTGACAAAGTTCCTTATCAAATATTTTCTGCGCCGTTCGATATGGATAGCCAAAAGAAGCACACACACATTTGCGGCATGTTATGCTTCATTGCTTTAAAAAAAAGTGATAGGGCAAAGAACGCTGCAAACGAGATTTGTACCGTTTACGGTGATGGTTCTACGACTATTAGGACAGTCCGCGATTGGTTTAAGAGATTTAGAGCTGGCAATTTCGATTTGAAAGATGAAGACCGCAGCGGCCGTCCAACAACGACGGATGCGGACCTTATCAAAGATATGCTCGCTGAAAATCCGCGATATAGTGTGCGCGAGATAGCGGATGCCACTTACATACCCAGGACAACGGTACATAAGCATTTAATCAAGATGGAATATGTGAATCGATTCGAAGTTCCACACCGTCAAATTTTCATCACGACAACGCAAAACCGCATGTTGCGTTGGTCGTAAGACGAAAATTATTGCAGTTCGATCGGGACGTTTTACCTCATCCTCCGTACTCCCCAGACATTGCTCCATCCGATTATTACTTGTTCTTCTCGTTAAAAAATTCTCTCCGTGAAAAACGGTTTAAATTCGTAAGCGAAATAAAAACGCGCCTTGATCAATATTTTGCAAATAAGCCTCGACAATCTTGGAAAGACGGCATAACGAGGCTTCCCGGAAGATGGA